AAAAAAAGTAAATGTATCCCTGTACCAGGCCGTGAAGGCCCATAGGGTTGTGAGACGTCGAGGTTCCCACATTATCTAGACAGTCAGCTCACAGATGGCGGTGAGGTTGTCAGTCTTACGCGCCGGTCGCCCTTTACTCTCAGGAATATTCTTGGGTACTCACTTCTGTTAGAGGCTGTGTCGACCCCAGGGTCACAGTGCGGCTGGTAGGATTAGGTAAACTGAAAAAATCCACCTCATGGGGATTCGATCCCGCGACCTTCTGTTTTGTAGCATAGTGCCTCAACCAACTATACTACCACAAGGGACAACTGATAAACCGGATACCTTTTCGACGTAGTTCCAGAATATATAAAAGATAGGCCTCGCTATCCACGCACACAGGCACATGCAGAAGATGAGAGCAATTAACGGAGCTGGACGGTATGCTCAACCGGTATTGCAGCGGCCAAATTTGATCACAGCGTCGGTGTGACTGTAGATAGCAGCATCACTCAGTGAATACTAGAGCATGTAGACCCGTTGCGAAGTAATGACTCTGTAAACATCGCCAGTTGCTAGGCAACGGATTCCTAACATGCACCAATGGACTGATAGGCGGTGTTCTCTACGCGGTCCGTGCGACAGCTGCGTGGCGCAACAATATAAATTTGTAAGCGGTGTTTTCTATGCGGTCCCTGTCAAGGTGTAATAAGCAGGACAGGTTTAGAGTTTAGTTACTTGTGAGATAGTCGCCGGGCAGTAAAGGCGTGAACACGGAAGTTGAGGAAGCTACGGCGTTGGAAAACGTTACCTGACAACGACTGGTGACGATAAAACAGACTGAGAAGACTTCGTGCGTGCTGTAGTGAATTGTAGTGCGTGTGAATTAGCGACAGCGCCGTAGTTATTTGTAGTTACGATCTGTAAGTGTTCAATAAATCAAAGTACTAATCCAAACCCCGTCTATAGTCTTTCAAGAACATGCCGAGTCCATAGCGTGTATATTCAGTAAAATCGTGATTACAAAGTGTCCCTCAATGACCTCCTGAAAGGTCATTATACGAGTATAAGATGCATGGGTAAGCGTAGAAAATAGCATTTACACTACATCACAAAATTTGTATACTCTACTTTTGATGAAGTCCGTTTTTATATGGGGGAAAAAATGTTGCACTGGCATAGAAATTTATCAGCAGTTTTCATGGACCGAATCCAATAACGACGCTGATAACCGTAACAATTTCATGTTAAAATTTCAACGAGATTAATTCTAGATGCTGGACAAAACGACGATATTATCAACTCACCCATTAATGGATGTCTGAGTCATGAACCAACCGAGAAACGCCTTTGCAATGGAGTGCCACAGCTGCGTGAAGATCCAGTCGGATTTGTGGCAGGATTGGTCCAGAAACAATTCCGTTTCTTTGTCTATTCCCAGGCACAGGAATCGCTCTCGGACAGACTCCTGAAGACGGTTGGTGTCACAATGGTACCACTGTAACAGAAATGAGTGAATACGTGTAGCTCTTGAATATTAGTAAACATTTCATATCACCACATACTGCTTCCGATAGTGACTTGTGGAAGCGCGGTGGGAACTATGTGTGTGCCGCTTGTTCTAACATTCATAGCTCTGCAGTTAGTTCGCACAGAGCACTGAAATATTCCCCACTGTGGCGTATTTGCTAAAAGCAAGAACTACTGAGGCAGAGAAACAGCCGTTGCTAGGTAATACCCGACCGCAGCAATAGAGGTGTCACGATACGTGACATGTACAGCCGTTGCTAAGTAGTGCCCGCAGCATATGCGTCAGCGGTGACGTCACGCGACAATAGGTGTTACAGGCGGCGTTCTCTGTGGATCCGCTCCGAGGCTATATGACTCGACTGACCGAGTTCCGTTCAACGCAAGCCCGTGTAGAGGTAGGTTTGAATGCATCTACCGTAACCATACACGTCGTAGGAGGCAACGAAAAGAGAACCCAGTGCCTGGGGGTATAATGGGGCCACCCGGTTCCTGGAGGATATAAATGCGGTTACCTGGCCCTCCAGGTTTGGAGAGTCTCGAATCTGACATAGTAAAATGTGATCATGAGTCCCGCGGAACTCGGACCTGGGAATGACTGCGCTGGCGAGGACCAGCAACAATTGTAAACGACAGACCCATCCTCTCGTTTGAGAGAGAGTTACATAAAGACTATGACCGCAAGTGTTTAGTTGAAACAATTACTGGTCGTGAGTCTCAAGGGACATGTCGCAAAGACGAACTGATTGGCGGTAAACCGCCAGTCGTAAAGTAACTCTGACTCTGACTCTGGCTCCGTTCAGCGAGTGAGTGCAGTGCAGTGCAGTTGAAGCGGTTCAGTGGAGGAGTTGAGAGTGTTAACCAGCGGCAACGGAAGCTGAAGATTCCTTACCAGGAAGCGACTAGTGAAAATGTTGCAGAGGAGAAGCCACTGTGGAGAGCGGTGACAAAGTAGACTAGTGAAAGCAGAAAGAAGAGATTTAATGTGGAGTGATTTGTAAAGTGTGGAAATCAGCAATACTGTTATAGTTTGCAGTTAACGACCTGTAAGTGGTCAATAAATCTACTCACCAATCCGAATCCCGTCTACAGTCACTAATACATTTGACAATACTGTCACGTGTATGAGTGACTATATACGGATTGGTAAATGAATTTATTGAACACTTACACATTATAACTACGAGTAACTATACGTACACTCTATAGTTCACTACAGCACGTACTAAGTCTTCTCAGTCTGCTTTCTCCTCACCGGTCGTTGCCTGGTGACGGGTCTCAACAATGTCTCTGCTTCTGTCCTCACGTTCTTACTGGCTAGCGACTGTTCCACAACTAACTCAACAAAGAAGAAGTGGGGGTGGTAGTGAGAGACACTATATTGGGGGGGGGGGGCAAGAAACCATATCTCCGATTTGAAGGTTCCCAGGCAGTGCCCGCTTGTCCTTCTGGTATAGGTGGAGCATATAATCGGATTTTCTTATATATTACATATTTTTATAACGCTGGAAGAGGTGCACTGTAGTAAAAATTTTAGCTAACGTTGGGAGGGCTATATTAGGGCGAAACTTTGATATTACCAATGGGAGGGCTGCATGTGAGGCATGCAGTGAAACGTGGAATTTGGGTACAAACTCAGCATTTGCTCTAGGACCGAGGGAAACAACTAACTCAATGCTCCGATTGTCTTGCTTATAACATTTCGGCATGGATCGCACAGAAAACAGTTCCCCTGTCGTTCAACTGTTGCTCTGCGGGCCGCGCAGAAAACACCATTATTTTTTTTGTTCTTCGAGAGTCGCTGCCTAGCAACGGCCGCTGTTTACAGAGTCACTCTTTAGCAATGTCTCTATACGTCACAATATGCGCAGTGTTGATCGGGAAACCTGCAAGGAAGGAACCACTATGAGGACATAGAGCAGATGATAGGTGAATCTTAAGGAATCAGGATATAACTTGGGCTGAAGTCTGATTCAGGATAGGTTTCAATGGCGAAATCTTACGGTACAGTAGTGAAGCTCTGAGTAGCATAAAAAATGCTGAACTTCTTGACCAGCCAAGCAACTTGCCCCTCAAGGACCGGCCGCTGCCCAAGACAGCTGTTTACATTACTGTGTTTCTCTAGTCAGCCCTGCAGTCAAGGGTGGGGGGGGGAGGCTGACTAGATCAGCGTCCAGTGGGTGCAGGAGCTGATATGTTGCACCCTGCCCGTTGTCTACACCGTGATAAAGGCTTTTCTTCTCGAGAAATATCACGTGTTTTATGTTTTACATCAATTTGTGACCAATTTACCGACTCTCCCTCGTATATATATATGTATGTGTGTGTGTGTGTGTGTGTGTGTGTGTATGTATGTAACGAAGAGGCCATTTATGCTGACATTAATTCTACACAGTTGTAAGCCAAATCCGAATGGAAACAATTTCAACAAACCCTCTTATTCAATTAAGCTCTTCTAATTGTCATGTATCCTGAGTTTGCATGAGTAACAAAACGGGTTTTGGATTTGATGATCGAATTCGTTGAACTTTTATACAACTTGTTACCAAGTTCACAAATGACTGTCTGACACATTGTCATCTTCTTATGACAGGTCACTCTACGGGAACTATTCTCTCTTCAAGCTGAACTGAACTCCACTACTCCGTTGTACTCCCTCGTACTGCTTAGAGTATCCTCTTATAATTACTCGGCACGGACTCCACACAAAACACCGTCTTCTGTTGAGCGTAAATTCGAAAATATGTTCAGCGACCCGTTGCCTAGCAACGGGCATATGCGTCATAATATATATTTGTCGCTTTAGTGTAATGTTATGTGCACATCAACATGACAACAGTCTCCAGAAATTAAGCTCGTGTGAAGGCAAATCGTAATCATTCACGAGGAGCAAGAATGGTTCACGGTGGGCCCAATTCCAAGTAAGGGAGAATGACGTCTTATATCTCTTAAAAACAGAAAATAAGACATAAAATTGCATTCTTCTTGCGTGTGGCCGCTCCAGAATTAGTTCTCTGTCAACAGCCATGCGAACTGCAGCAGCACCGTCCGACCCCGACGTAATTAAACCATTAGCGGAACGTCAACGCACTGAAGAGTGGCTTTAAACCTGCAAAGCAATTTCCACCCGTGACTGTGACTGATGCCTTAATGAAAAGCGTGAATTAGTTTAAGCAGCAGAAGCAGGGATCTAAGCTCCACAATATTTGCATTGCGTGGTCTGCGAAACAACAGAGCACACTACTGAAGAGACTCGATAAGCCAACCATCGTGATATGAACCTCGCTTCTAAAACGTCAGTTAACCAAATGGTAAACATACAAAATGCAGGCCAGTGTGATCACACGAGACGAGTCTCAGAAAGTTTCAGTTCTTACAATTTTGCCCTGAAGATGGAGGGGGGGGAGGACGGAGCGCTCCTCCAAAATCCACCAGACTACACGATATCACATCCCAGAAGAAATTAAACAACATGCTAATGCAAGCGGAAGCTCTTTTCACACTGCCTTTAGCGCGTCCACAACGAAGGATTACAAAAAACGCGCCTGTTTCGTTCGCAAGTCCGTCTGTCCACACACAGCATCTCTAGAAATGCTGAACAGAGTTTAATGAAATTCAGTACTGGGCAGTTACACTAAAATTCGCAGGCACATCCAAAATCTTTGGTTAAAATCGCGTGTAGTACTAACGGGAATGCGGACGTAAACGCGTTCTGGGTGGCATCCCGGGCGTCCATAGGTAAATATTTAAATGGAAAAACTAAAGTTATCCCTGTCCTTAACTAATTAAGCACTACGCCATGAAAACGTATGGGGGAATGGATATATAGATCCACACATTCTTGACCTCGGTAGTAGATGGAGGTGAGTGATTAGCTTCACGTCGAGGCCTCTTTACCCCCGGTACCCACTGGATAGGAGGCTCGATGGATCCTCGAACTGGTCCGGACGACGTGGAGAAAAGACAAATCTTGCCCCTACCGGGATTCGAATTCCGACCTACTTGGCCGTCCATGCAGTAGCCAGTCGCTTTACCGACTGAGCTATACGAGCTCCTCGATAAATATTTATCGGAGTGAAGAATTTTCGAAAGAATGTTGGAGAGAAAAATAAAACATATTTTATTCCCAATCCACATTTTCTATTAGTCTTACGGTTTTCGTGTTACTGCAGAATACAGCATCAAGTGAATTCAGGAGCATCGTGCAGGATTGCAACTGGGGGTCCTACACGAAGCAGCAACTTGTTTCAGCTAATAATACAAGAAAGTCCCAACACACGTAGCTACACACACAACTTCAGCATTTAAGTGTATGGCAACAGGTCTAACACTAATAGACAGAAACGAAGTTCGTGAGAGAACCAGGAGAAGAATAGATTCAAGAGCCGGCTCCTATTACTAACGTCGAAGATTGTTATCAAATTTTCCAAACTTCAAAATCAGAGCACAGCCCCACAAAACAATATTTTCCTGTTCTTCATATGGGTATAAAATACGGCCTCTTACGTTAAGCGAGGATCATAAATTGCAGGGGCACGCAGTAGTTTAGATCGTTGAGACACTATGCTACAAGCCGGAAAGTTGTGGGTTTGAATCCCGATGAGGCCATTAGATTTTTCAATTGACCTAATCCTTCCAGCCGCACTATGGCACTGGGGTCGACTCTTAACAGAAACGAGTAAAAGGAATCTTCCTGAGGGTAAAGGGCGGCCGCCTGACGCGTAATGCTGAACCCTCACCGCCATCTGTGAGCTGATTGTCAAGAAAATGTGGGAGCCTCGACGTCTCACCACCCATCGGCCTTCATGGCCTGTTACACGGATAGCTTTTACATAAATTGCAAATGTCTGAATAGGCAATATCAAAGAAAATGTTTGAACCAGACAATGATGAAATATGTCTAATCTGAGGTTCTCACAAGGGTGATTACTATCTTCTGGCATGTGATACCGTGTGATTTGGTAGACACGT